AATACTCAAACGAAGCTGTATTGATCATATATTGAGCTTTTCCAATTTTCCATAATCAGCACTTCGCTGATTATGAAAACTGAATGTTTTTTAAACGAGAAAAAGCTAAGAATGGATTGTAGCAGGGAGGGAGCTGCCAGAATGCGTTACTTACTGAAAACATTGACAAATAAAAATGTAATAACGGTTTGGAAACAGCGCTTCAGTTCTTTTTTCAGTTAGCGACGGGTATCAACCATTCTGTGGTTGTGGCAATTTTCAAAACTGCATGTGTTACGAAAGGGGTATTCGAGCAGTAAAAAGTGTGCCTAATCGAATTCTAATAATAAAAGAGTAGAAACCAGTTGCAATAACCATTGGCAAGTACTCTCTAAAAATTTCGTTTTAGAATATAAGCATCCATACGAAAATTATCAGAGTACCCTTTAACGTATACCTTTTGTTTTCAATTCAGCATTTATAGAATTGAAGCAAAGCAAATTAGATTTTTAGAACTGAAGAAGTCTACCATGAAGGAGGAATGAGCCACGTATCAAGGAGTTCTGCCGAGCAACCACATGGCAAAGAACGATTGACCCTTCAGGAAATACGGCGAAAATAGGCTACTTATACAGACTTGTAAAGTACAACTACACCAAACACTTCATATACTTACAGCATGATGAGAAGAAAAGGGCTATAAAACCAAAAACTGATGCCAGCTCTTTCATTTTCCACGACTTGCGAGTTCTGGAAGGTTATCGAACCTTACTTCTAAAGGTGTTACCTTCCTATGAACAGTTCACGTTTACTTACCGGGCTATATACTTCTTATTTTTTGCTTGAGTTGTCAGTAATTACCCCCGACTAATAGAAGATTGTGCTAAATTTGCAAAATGATTTAAAAATAGCACTCAATTAAAGGTGGAGTATTTGTTTTCGTTACCTTTTTTTTCTCGAAATCGATATCTTCTCTTAAGTAACGATTTGTTTACACTGACCTGAAAACTACTGACACACTTGCAGTAAGAAGCCAGCATTACGTATCAAGCTTAAAATAACTATTTTACGAATCGTAAACAGTTCAGCCCATGTTCAAACGAGCATTCTTATTCCTCTAGAGTTGACATAACAGTGCAACACTTTTCTTCTGGCAACTGAGGAAACAAAGTATTTTGCCTAAGACAGACAAAAACTCAAAATATTATCAAGCCGTTCATGCTACTATGAGGTGGCTTATCGCATACACAAAAATTTCGTCGACAATCAAAACTTCAGTTCAGGCTTAACTAGGTCGTTATACGATACGGATTTGTTGCGAAACTGTACAACAGCTATTGCTTCTTTTCCTCCTTTTCATAATAACTTGATGACTTTTTTCCAGAA